TGGGTCAGTTATCGCAGGTAAACTGATTTCGCAAGCTACTCCAATTTCTTTTGTTGCTCCCCAAATAGCCTGCAGCCATAAAAGTGTTATAAATAGTTATGCTCTAACTGCATAGATTAGGGTTACAACAAAGAGCTGTGAAAGCAATTCCATATGGCGATTTGCCCAGCAATTCACCAAATAATTCAGTCTCAAAACTGAGATGAAGTTCCGAAATGATTTCTAAATCTTTCAATGCGAAGTCTTTACACTATTTTAAGGAATTTGGGCAATGCCTAAAATGAATACATTGACTCCATTTTGGGTGAAATTTTTGCTTATTGGTTCAAGCTGATGTTAGCTTTGCGTGTGTGGTCCACCTACGAATGGAGGAGGAGGCGGCGGGAAGTGTGTGGGAAGGGTGTGGCCGACCACCCTGACTGCGTTTAAAGTAATGCGCTAAGATGCTTACAAGAAAAGCAGCATCAGCAACAACAACAACAACAAGTTGTAGGGGCATTTGGGTTGGGGTCGCTCGAAGATCTGTCTAAAGAAAATTTAATGATTAATGAGCCGCTCGCATTGTTGGAAGACGAGCTGTCGGGAGTGTGAGGGCGGGTATGTAACAGGTAGAAGATTCAATCCATGACAGCATCTAACATATATCTACTAGATGTCTGCTTGAAGATGATTCCCTATGTCAGATGAAATTTCTCATCTAATTCTATTTCATTTATAAGTTCACTCAACTTACTAGACGTTCCAAGAGCTAACCTGATCTAAGAGACAAATATAGAATACTGCACTTCTTTAATAGAAAACTAGCATATTTGCAATGACAGGGTATCTCTAAGTCGAATACTAGATTTGAGCATAAGCGCAGAAAATATAGAAATATATAATATATCTATATAAATACAGAATTGTATAACTCTCCTCGTTTCATCGTAATTCTCGAGCCAGCTATCGATATTATTTTACGGGGTATCCTCTAGTCGTGTATATGACCGATAACTGTGCCTAAAGAATGTATCTTATGTATCTGTTTCTGAGATGAAATGTGGTATATAACTGCACCTGAGCTGTCATGCAATCAATAGTATTAGGAGCTTCCAGTAGCTTACTCCAATGTCAAATACCAGGGTAACTGCTAGTCGATCAACTCTTTGAACTGGAGACTATTTTGACTATTCCCTCCGATTAGACATAAATTTAGTCTAGGTAAAGAGCTCGAATTGCCGCAGCTGAGCGGGCATCAGGTAGTCGTAGAAGCCTCGATTCAATCATCTTGCAGCTGCTCTTGCTTGTTGCCCGCATCGGATGTGGCAATCCTCAGTCCCCAATCACTCAATCGCTCATTTCAATTAGCCAATTACGCATGCCAATTGCCAATTGCCAATTGCCAATTGCCAACTGCCGATTGCCAGTTGCCAGTTGCCAATTGGTCAGACTCCAGTCAGGAGTCGACGCAGGCGCAGAGGCAGGGACAGGGACAGAGGCAGAGGCAGAGACTCAGAGCTGAACATTTGTAATTAGAAAACGATGCCATAATTTGCAGTTGCCACCAAGTGGGGCAGGTTGCACGGAAGTTGCGCAAGCGACACGCATGCAGAAGTTGTCCGAGAAGTTAAGAATCAATAACAACAGAGACTCGATCTCTGTCGCCGCATCTCTGCCTTAGCCTCGGTCTCCCTCCCAGCTTCTCTCTCGCTCTCTGCTAATTTGCGAGCGCGAAACGGAAGTTGTTGCTAGCCAGTGTTTACTGTGCGCTGTGCACAAATCGGAAGTTGCGCTTAACCAAAAGACAAAGTGAGTCTCTACTTCCGCTGCTGCTCAAGCTCTGCGGTCAGAGAGAAGAGATGTCAACTACAGTTCTCAGTTCTTCCTGGTGAAAGGGAAATGTTTCCTGTGCACAGATCCAAAAAGCTGACAGGTAGGGCTACGCTTAGGTGGGCTCTGCTAATGAACTCACAGGGCGGTCTCTTTTAAGCTCGACTGGCGCAGCACAGTCAAAGGGAAAAGCCAAAGCCTTAGGGGCCTTGGAACGCAGTTGGCTCTTTGGGCTTAGCTTAGATCGGAAAAGTGATCCATGATAAACCTTTTCCCTATTCGACTCTCGGCTCCCTTTCTTGCCCTCCGGCTGGAGGTCATACAAACGTTTCTTAATTAATTTTCTGTGCCTCGTCATAGTATTAATCGCTGCGGCCCGTTGCCAAAAGCTGTCGAACAGGCCAAATCAAGTCAAGTAAGAATATTGCAGTCGACCCTAAGCGACTATCCACTGCTCGTCCATGTCAGGAAATCAAATTTCTTCTATAAAACTTATAGTTTTCTCCGCTAATCTGGACCCGATAATAATTCCCAATTTAGAGGGCGAATTCCAAAGGTTTTAGAGCTTTGTCGAGGGTATTTACATGTGCTAAAGGTTACGTCTCTTGAAGGGAAACTTCAGGTGTCTAGCTTCAACTATCCTATGAGTGCCAATATACTCGCTTCACACTCTCTGATCCGAGCTCAAAAAGTGATAATAAATCAGAAACTCAATAAATAACGACGCGGCTCGATTATTTATTGCGGTCTGTGCCCCGAGTGGAATTGAAAGTCATTTGATGCTTTTATTTTTTCGTCTTATTTTTGGGACTGGCACGCGCCAAACGAGTTACACGAATTCCAATTGGACTGCGTGCGCATACATATGTACAATGATGATCTGGCAACTCCGGCGAAAACAAAACATTTGCAACTTTTGTTTCTTTTATGTCTTTATTTGCTTAACTCTATCTCCCTCTGACTCTTCCGCTGCACATATGAAGCTGATCTGGCAATGCTGTCATGCTTCACTATAACCGCTCATTAGTAAAACAATTTGTATTTCTCGTTCTCGAATCCTTCTCTTACTCTATCTCTCTCTCTGAAGCATTTTCTCTCTCAGTCACTCGGTCTGCGTATCTATATCTTTCTCTCAATCACTCTTCTTCTCGCTTTCTTTCTCCCTCTACATCCCTCACTCAGTCTGTCTCTACCTCTTACTCTCTTTGTCTCTCTCTGGTCCCCACAAATATATCATTACACATAGACAATGTGGCAACGCTGTCAACTGTTGCTCGACACACTTCACTGTAGCTACACTTGAACTAAAACAACTTGCAAACCATCTCACACTTTTCTCTCTCTCTCTCTCTATGTCTCACTGTCTCACTTGCTGCTCATGTAATGTGATAGCGAGCCAATGACACCATCTACAACACCAACAACAACTAGAAATTATTGAGAACTGTTTTATTCTTATTGTTGTTGTTGTTGTTGTTGCGGTTTTCTTCTAACATAGCGGCACTTTCAGTGTATATATATAGAGTTTTTTGTCGTAGGCGTCGTTGATCAGCAGCGATTCATGGCAAGCCATAAAAGTGAACCGAATCAGCAGTGCCTGCAATTCCGATTCGCAACTGTAATTCCCCTGCCCACTCCGCCTCTGTTCCTCTCCCCACCAGGCGAGGGTTTGCAATTGATAATGCTTAAGTGATAAGACGCTTCGACGTTGTTTGATAATTGATATGTAGAAGTCTGGCGAGCAACATCAACAAGGCTCGTTGGTCTAGGGGTATGATTCTCGCTTCGGGTGCGAGAGGTCCCGGGTTCAACTCCCGGACGAGCCCGAGTTTAAATGAAATTTTTATTTTATTTTTAAATTTTGATTGAGATAAATGTTAACACAATATTCTATATAGATATATATTTATATTTAGATAAATATAAAGACTAATCTAATCGGTCCACGATATATGGCCATCCACAGACATATATCTAACCACATATACCCACTCTGACATTTGCCATAGAGCACATCTTGTAGGTGATCTAAAATCATAGATGAAGAGCTCGCAGAGCGCTGGCTATAAAACCATCTATAAATAATATTTATAAATGATTTATCTTTGACTATCAATAGATAAATCTCTTTATACCTTACACATGTACCCAGTCTATACCTTTGCCATGGAGTATATAGCGCTTACTTTCGTCTAATCACTTTGAGATACGCATTACTCACGTCTCTTAGTCTGGTTGACCTTTTTTCGAATTTGTGACTCAGAGTTGGGCTGCTTTGGCAGCTGGCGATGATGTTGAACCCTTTGAAGACCTTCGGCCATGGTTGCGGTTCACACGCCCGCTAATTATTTAACCAGAACCCAAGCAGGCGCGAAATGTTCGTTGTTGTTGGTTTTTTTGGCCAAGTGAAGTGACTTCCTGTCTGAGCAAATGAGTCATTGGTAACGAGGTCCACTTCCCTTATTTGCTCTGCTCTGCTCTTTGTTTCGACTTCTGCTTTTTTCAACTGCCTCAAGTGCTGCTGCTTCTTCTTCCTGTTGATTGAGCCAAATTATTAATGGCAACGCTCGCTGCACACTTAACTCAAATCACATTAACAGTTAGCCAGGTGACATAAGAACAAGAAGAAGAGCACAAAGACGACGAAGTCGCATAACATTCTGTTTCCTATATATAAACACATATATATATACTGTAGTTGAAACACTCAAGAGCGCTCAACAATTGTCAATGAGAGTGTCGAGTCTGTCCGACTAGCAGATACCCACACTCCCACTATCGAGAACTCTCTTTACAGCAGCTTTGTTTGCTTTCCTAGCTAAAAGCTGAATTCCTTTTACTAATGTCCTTCGATAGGCAAAAAATATGTTTCTGTTTATTTTCTATCCCTCTCTGACTCTGTCTCTCTTGAACCGAAGTGATTCAGGATTCAATAAAGCATCGTAGAGGGGCTATAGAAGTAACCACTAAAACAGTTGCCTACAAAGGACAATAGGTGGCGCACACATGTTCTTGTTTAGGTATGAATATGAGGTGGTGATTGGAGGCTGAGCTCTACGTACTCTGCAGAGTATTTGCAAGTCGCGCACACCCTGACCTACGCACTCTGGTGTTATGAGTTTTGTTTTGTGTTTGGGGCAGCAGCCAGGCAGTAGGCAATAAGAATTTTGGTATTTTTGATTGTATTCGGAAGTTGTCGAGACTCGAGTTGTGATGTGAGAAAGATGTCAGAATTTGTTGAACTTGACGAGAGGAGAGAATTTCAGCTAGCCTCAGCCAGAGAGCAGCGAGACGGATGCGCTGCTTGATTGGCCTAGGCGAACGATGAAATTTGGCAAGACCTTTGAGACGCACCTGACCATAGAATGGCGGCAGCAGTACATGCGTTACACGGTGAGCCACACACTACACGATAGACGCAATTTGACACGAACAGTTGTCAAACAGAGCGATAGTTCACTGTAGAGACTTAAACTAACTTCAAATCGAAGGACTTGAAAACATTGATACGACGCGGCGTCGAAGGGGCCCCGACGGCCGAGAGTGGCGCCAGCGATGCGGAAATCAATGCCTACTACATTGCCTTCGAGGAGCAGTTCTTTACGGAGTGCCACCACGAGCTGACGCGCGTCAACAACTTCTTTCTGGAGAAGCTGGCCGAGGCGCGACGCAAGCATGCCACACTCAAGCTACAATTGCTGGCCACGGCCCGAGCGCCCGGACATACGTTCAGCTCCTATTCGCTGCAGAGCTCCCAGCGCCTGTCCTCGTTGGTCAGCTTGCGTGACAATAATAGCAGCAGCAATCGGAAGTTGATGACGCAGCGACAGCTGCGTAATGCGTATAGCGAATACTATTTGACGCTCGTCCTGCTCCAGAACTTTCAATCACTGAACGAAACGGGCTTCCGTAAGATCTGCAAGAAGTACGACAAGTATTTGCGATCGACCAGCGGTGGCGATTGGGTCGAGCAAAACATCAACTATGCCGCCTTCACCGACCACCGACCACTCGAGAAACTGATCATCGACGTGGAGGAGTTGTATACTCATTATCTGGCCGGGGGTGATCGCTCCCGTGCGATGACTAAGCTCCGAGTGCCGCCCCTTGGACAGCCCACGCCGCCTCGAATGGTCTTTCGGGCGGGCCTGGCATTAGGCATGTTCATCATGTTGGCGTGCACAACGATCTTCAGCTGTGAGTTCCCTCTCTCTCTCTCTCTCTCTTTGTCTTATTCTCTGCCACTCTCGCTTCCTTGCAGTCTAACTAGGGATGTAAACAAGAGCATCTATGTGTCGTGCTGCATCGATATTGAGAACTTAGCTAGCTAGTAGATATCTAGGCATACACGATGTCTTCGATATATCTTTATATATAGGCTGTCTTCGATATGTCGATAGATTGGCCAACTTGTACTGGATACATCAATATATTGACCTGCTGAGCTGTCTTAGATAAACGATAGATTGAGGAATCAAAGCTCTGTTCAATATATCGAATCATTCGAACATCTAAACGTTCGATACATCCGTTTATTGGCATCTGCGATTATATTGCTTATCGATATGTTACTGCTACTCTTAGCTTTCTCAACTTGGCTTTCAATTGTTATTATTAGTGCTTTAGTTTCTTGACTGAAAGCTCAGACTGTTGTTAGTTAGATAAGTACGATAATGAGCCACAATCTTATCGATAATCGATAAATGATATTATTGTTATTAATCGCTTATCATCAGATCAAATTTGACTCAACTTACAAGTTTAAGGCATTATTCAGGAGAAACAACCATCAGCGCTCCATTGCCGATTTCTTATTAATCGGTCAGTCGATTAATCGATGCTTGGCGACACATCGATCTTTTCATGAAATTTACATCCCTAAAGACAAAACTGAACGTCAACTAAAACATAGTGCCCGTTTACGCCTCAGACATCCGTAGGCCACCGGAGGAAAATAAAATAGAGGCGTTCATTCGACTTTACCGTGGGCCGTTCACGTGGGTGATCTTTAACTTCTTCATGGCCGCCAACGTGGCTGGCTGGCAGCGAGCGGGCGTCAATCACGTGCTAATCTTTGAGATCGACCCGCGCAGCCATCTGCAGCCGGCGACATTCCTCGAGATTGCCTGCACCTTTGGCCTCCTGTGGACGCTCTCCATGCTGGGCTTCCTCTTCCATGACCTGATCAATGTGAACGATCCATTTGTGTTCCCACTGGCCCTGACCCTGATTATGATAACGCTGCTGATCAACCCACTGCCCATTATGAATTGGCCCGCACGCTGGTGGACAATGCGCCTGGTGGGTCGCGTGGTAACGGCGCCGTTGCATTACGTGCGATTTGCCGACTTTTGGATGGGCGACCAAATGAACTCGCTGGTCACCTGCATGGCCGATCATTACTACATTGTGCGCTTCTATGCGATATGTTGGCTGCGATATGCGAACTTTAACTTCTGCTTCGAGGAGGACATGTTCGTGCCGATCTCCCGCTGTTTGCCCGCCTGGTTCCGCTTCGCCCAGTGCCTGAGACGTTTCCGCGACAGCGGCTCCAAATCCGTTAGCTACCTGCTGAACGCTGGCAAATATTCGACAACATTCTTCGTGGTCTTCTTCTCGACAATGCGCGGTCGTACGGATGGTATGGCTAATCCAATAAACCATAACCCCCAACCATCTCCTCACACTCACTCTCCGGCAGTCTTTTGCAGATGGTTATGCGAATACATTTAGCAACCCGTATACCTGGTTCTTCATATTGAGCTACATTATCTCCACAATCTATTGCTACGCTTGGGATGTGATGAAGGACTTTGGCATATTCAAGATATGGCGGGGGGAGCACTTGTTTCTCCGCGAAAAGCTAGTGTATCCGCAAGCGGTCTATTACTTTGTGATAGTTGAGAATCTCATCTTACGCTGCTTCTGGGCCGTCGAGTTGGTTGTCCTCTATCACAAACTAATCACACCCTACAACATCAAGACCTGTGCGAGCATCCTCGAGATCACGCGGTGAGTCCTCATCACACACTCGCGCTAAAGATGGTTCGCTAATGCCAGCCCCCCTTGCACCGTCCCCCAACACCTTCGCCTTGCCCACATTCAATGTAGTCGCTTCATCTGGAATTACATCAGACTGGAGAATGAGCATTTGTATAATTGCGGCAAATTTCGCGCCACGCGTGACATCCATTTGGCCTCATTGACCGCTCAGCAGGAGCGCATGTTGGAGAACATGATGGGCGAGGCAGATGGCGCAGAGCCAGGTGGCTCTTCTAATCCGCGCACCAACGAGCGTCGCCGCCTTGACAAAGAATACTTCTGATGAATCCCAACCAAGTACCTAACCTCCGTATACCGAACCCTACTTCCCAGCTATAACCAATCACACATTCTACTGCTGCCATGTCAATGAGTCTCCGTCATCATCGTCATTGCTATTTAAGCCAGTTCTTTAATGAATTCAATTGTGCGAATCGAACAAAAACGAAAATAAATAAAGTAACCGTTACCCAGACCAAGAACAGATAAACATATGGACAAGGGGATCGCATATATATAGAGGGAAAGAGAAAGGGGACTTAGCGGAGGGCGGGTCGCAAATCAAAAGATCGGAGAAGGGCCACAGTTGAGAATCAAAGATATAGTAAGAGAAGCAAGATCAGGGAGTGAGAGACGAAAGGCAGTAGAGAATCGAGATCGCAGATAGACAGCGAGAGAGAGGGAGAGGTAAGAGAAGGGAAGCAGTGGAGAGACAAAGATACAGAGAAAGGGGAAACAGTTTAAGAACAGGGATTCAAGATCGGAGATCGAGGGATTGGCAACAGTTGGCGATCGAAGCTAAGCGGGAGGAAGCAGAGGAAGCAGCTGCAGATCTGGCAGCAAGCTTCGAGTAAAGCTGCGACACGCGCCAAACCGGTTGCACAGCTGCACCCAAATGCGGTCTGGCTCCTGCCTGACCAACACCGCTGCCTACTTCCCCCTCTCTCTCTCTCTCTCTCTACCTATAGGTACACCTTCGAGTAGCAATTGTCATTGCTTGCACACAAACTGGGACTCGTGTCGCGATCGCGACTCGATCGCAGTTGTTAAGGAGATCTTTTAATTACCGTGTTTGATTGTGGTTGATGTCGTTGCTTTTTTCCCCCTTTCGATTTAATTAATGAAGCGATTAGCCAAGGAGCCGGCCACTCACTCAATTTATGCTGCCTCATCGGCCCGAACTGTCGCATCACGGTCGTTAAAAGCCAAAGAAGAGAAATTACAGCCTCTCATCTTTGTTGTCAGCTAGCTGGGCATGGGGCCTGGAGCATGGCATATTAAGTAATATCCTACTTTTACCAATCACTAACGAGTTCTAGCTAGGCAGTACGCACTGTAGATTAACAAGACCTGAAGACTTAGCGCTTGAGCTGGCTATGCTTGCTGCTGAGTTGATCTAGAAAAGAAAGCTTTAGTTAATTAAATCTAGGAGGCAACTTGGCTGGGGACTAGAACCTCTGGCATACCAAAGCCATGGACCTTATACATATGTGTTTATAGATTATAGAATTGTATCTAGAGAATGTGTTTGAAATCAATTAGAAATCACAACTAGATTAAAAACTCTTTGATCATAGAACACTGAAGATTTGATTACGTTTTAGTGTTTGAAATTCAGAGAAGATTTAATCAAAGACTTGGAATAACTGCAAGAAATATATAACTATGTATTCTAGGTATGTGATCTACAGTGATAAACCGAAACAAATTGAGTTCTTTTTGGATTGTGAATTGCTGAGCTTTAGAATTTGTTGAAATGGATTCGTTGTCGATCCTCAATGTAAGACTTAGATTGAACCAACCAGAAATAATGCATATAAAATCTCTTCGGCTGTTGTAAGTGAAGTTGCTTCTCCAAGGGGCAGGCTAGTCCCTGTCTGTTGGCTGATCTAGCCAATTGGCTGTGTCTGTGTGCCACCTTATCTGTCAGTCGAGTGCTTTTTATGCTTCTTCGGCTTATGCTTTCTCATATTTGACTTGGGCACGGGGCAAACATATAAATTTCTCGTTATTGACAACTGCAACTCTAGCTCTTTGGTGGAAAGGGGAAGGGGCAAAACTGGCAACAGGACAGGATGTGACAAGTGTTCCAATGAACGTGGTGCCTGACGACTAGTGCCTGCTGCCTGCTGCTTGTTGTGTACAGTTGCCGCTGGTTGCTGCTATACCCGTTCACCTCGTGACAAGTAGGCATATTCGGCTTCGAAATTTGAGCGAATAGTTATAATCGATATTTATCGATTTCGAATTATAAGCTATATTTGTGTAGGATTTTGCAGATAATCTGAAAGAAAGAAAAACAAATTCTTTTTCTGCATTTCGATAATTATAGATTCAAGTGAGAAGCAATCGATATTTATCGATTTTCAAATCATCAACATTTAATTTGAATGATTATAAGCTATACTTGTGGGCCAATTTCAAGCGGCTGACATAAAATAATTATATAAGTTTAAGCGAATAACAATCGATATTTATTGATTTTCGAATTGGTACCAATATCTTTAGATTTTCGAATTATTCTTGATATTGATTGGTTTGCAAATAGAGATCGAAATGTATGCTTTGGCTTCGATAAGTATCGATATTAGATCTACTAAAAGATATAGCTTATATGTAGCTTTGTGTAAGATTCTGTTTTGTTCCTCTTCTTTCCATATCAAAGTATTGAAGCATCTGTTCAGTTTGTCACTTGATCGCTCTTTTGCCGAAAGCTATGCGAGTATCATGCAGTCGCAGATGCTCTGCTTGTAATCGTCTTGCTTGTTGCAGTTGTTAATTGTTGTCGTGTGTCGTCGTCGTTGTCGTCTATTCTGTGCCTGGCCAACAGACAAACCAACTAACTGCCAGACAAGGCGCATTGTCCCTCTCTCTCGCTCTCTCTGTCTGCGTGTCTGTCGACGTTGTTGATCTTGGTACAGTTTGCTGCACACGCGCCAAAAAGCATAGCAAAGCAAAGCAAAGCAAACAAAGCAGTCCAAAGATAACAACAAACAAGCAAACAAACAACAAGGGAAAATCGAGTTCGGTTCGAGGAACAACTCGATTCAGCAAAGCCAAAGAAGGCGTTCATTTGCCTCGTGTGCCATAAATGTTACAATCAACAATTGGTAAGTCGAAAATGGACATTGTCTCAGGTATTACGCAATGCTAGAGGTAAAAATTGTCAATCCAAAAGTGAAGGAATTCGAGTAAATCGATGCACTAGCAGAGAGAGAGATGAACCAAGGGGAGAGAGAGAGATAACAGATAATCGATAATCGATGTCGTTGTCAACTGCCCAGCATCCATGTCCCAAGCTGAGCGGCACAGTTGGCATTGTAAAATGTCAAATTATTAAGAGCTTGATTAATATAAATATTAATTAAAACAATAAAAATGTTCAATCAAGCGAAAGGTGCGAGCAGCTGCAGCTGCAGCAAGAAAAAACCTTTTTCAGCTAAGCTGCAGCTGAACAGTCGAAGCTTAGCTGAAGCGAATGGCTCAGAACTTGCCACATGGCCAAATTGATGTGCACAACTTAACAAGCATAAGAAGAAGAAGCAGCAGAGGAGGTCGAAGAAGCAGCATAAGAGGCAATCGAATGACTGCCACATCAATTTATGAGCAGCCGCTGCCAAATCTCTGAAAGCTGTCTGAAAGGCGCGTGCTGCGAGCCAGCTGCAGAGCGAGAGCGACAGAGAGGGCGAGAGTGCGAGAGAGCGAGAAGGCAGTGCTGGGGTTCAGAGCATTGGTGACAAGGAGCTGCACAACCAGGAAAAGGAGCGCAAAACTCGTTTCGCACACGTAACTCCCTCTCTCCATCTACCCCTGTCTCCCTCTCTCCCTCTGCTGCTGGCTGTTGTTTGTCCCGTGCCTTGACTTGCGTCCTGGCTAAATTTAGCCAACAGCTCAGCTGCAAAAAGGGCTTTAACTGTTGTCCAAGTGCCAAGCACGCTGCCTATTGCTTGACCTGGCACCGACTGCCTAATACTCGCTCACAGGCACACAAAAATGGCCACATTTATGCAGAACTCTGCCTCTGCCACAATGGGCCACGCTTCATGTAATGAAGCCAATATGCTCGCTTGACACTATATAGACGAACGAATATATATGGTTACTGGACTTTAGACACAAGTTGTTGTTTGTTGTTGCTTGTTGTTTGTTGTTGTTTGTTGTTTGTTGAGTGCGCTCGAACAGCAGCAGTGAGCGAATGCAGCTGATTCGCAGTTGCGTCTTCGATACTTGAAGAAACGAAGAAACATATCGATATATACACACATAAATAGCAAAATAAGAAGCAGCAGCAGCTGAAGAAGAAAGTGTCTTCTAAATGTGATTCTAAATTTATGCAGATAACATTTATTCATGAGCGAGAGTTAAACGAAAATATTTCAAGAGTTCGGCTTGAGGCAGGCGCATCAAAGTTAGAAATTTCATTAGCTTTATCGAAATGTCTAAGCGGTTTGTGGCACATGCACAGCTAAAGACACATAAATATATATACATACATATATACATATATATATATATATGTATTTTTATATTTAGGACTTAATCCAATCGGAAAAATCTTTTTATTTTCTAGCAGGAAATTTTACACTTCTGACAAGCAACTGATTAATGCTTAACTAACTTTAACTATGTTCTTCAAATGTTCAATAACAATTAAATGACTAAACTATCTTGCTCTTAAACTGTTTCCAATTGTACTCCAATTGGAATGCGAATTGGTTTTGTTTTGGCTGAATAAAATGGTTAAAGCTTAAGCAAAAGTCGTTAGATTCAATTGTCTCTCAGTTGCTGTTTTGAAAAAATGTAAAAGTGGGCGTGGCAGCGCCCATTTCAGACAACAGCCGCAACGAATTTTGATTGAAGTTTGATTTTTTGACTTCTCTTTGGCTTTTTCTTGCATCATTCGCAGTGGCGACTGCAATTGCAGGTGGGCGTGGCTGTGGCTAAAGCTAAAACTTGGGCTAAAGGCAGCAAGTGAAACAACAACAGCAAAAATTGAATTTAATTAGCTAAATCAGCTAAGCACTGAGTGCCACTATCTGTGTATGTGTCTGTGTGCGTGTGTGTGTGTGCAGCCAAAAAGAATGCCAAATGCAAGCAAATTGCTGGCAGACAACGGCAATGGGCAAAAAATTATGATAATTGACAGCAAGTCGCATAGGCAGTCGTTAGATTGCAGCATTCCTGCACACACACAGCTCACATACACACACACACACACACACACATGTGTGCCTGGCTAAGTATATGATGCCCAGTTCCATATGCAAGTGGGCGGCGCAGGAAGCTAACAAAAAAAGTCGCCCATTTCCTCAGAGCAACTGTTGCCTGTTGCCTCTTCACTCTAGTTGGGTGCAGTGAAATAGCAGTAAGTGCGACAGCCATCAATTAAAAATGTTAAAGTTCTCCATTGCATATTGCTTGATGCAGCCAAATGCCAGGGTCAAATTGGCTGCTGAAGCAGCTAAAGCCAAACTGAAGATCTCAGAGCTAAACTATATGTGTGTGTGTGTGTGTATTGGTGTTGTGCGTGGCTGCCTGAAGGCAGGCATTAGCAGGGGGTGCAGTGGCAAGTTTGTTGCCAGAGTCTTTTGTTTTGCGCTCGCTCAACTTTTGGCTTCGCTTTTGCCTTTTTGGCGCGCACTTTTCAGCGAGGATGCTGAGCGCGCCTGACTGCCCCGAGTACCACATTAACTAGAAGAAGAAGATGAAGAAGAACAATGAAAAGTGCATTACAGCTGCCAGGGGGATAAAACAGATAAAACGAATTCAAGAAGCCAAGTTAAAAGTTGAGCTGCGACTGCGATAGCTGCGACTGTGTATCAGAGAGAGAGAGAGATGGAGAGAAAAGGAGAGACAGAGAGAGCGAAGAAAAGGAGACAGTGAGAGCCAGATAAAGGCAGAGAGATCAAGGAGGAAAGAGTTAGGGATAGAGAAAGCGAGAGGTAGTGAGAGATAAAGGAAGAAAGAGTGAGAGGGGAGAAAACCTCTTGTGCTCTTCGGCGTAGTTAATGTCAGCTAAAGCTGTCAGTTCAAAGCAATATCTGTCGAACCTCTAGACTGGCAGTCTATAAAGCATGTGAGCTATTCAGGTTTTTCTCTATGAAAGAGGCGCTTTGAGGGAAAAACGAAATATATTTTACTTCCACGTACTCTATTAGCATGCGCTAAGCTAAGCTAAGGAAAGAGTGAAAAATACTACAACTGCAGACGTAGCTTTATAGTACATTTAAAGATCTTAACTCATAGAGTCTTTGAGAAGCGCTGAATAGTTGGGCCAGAAAGGAAAAATTCTATCTATATATAGATATAACTCAAGAGCAGCCACAGAGTAAGCCGAATGCAGATAGCTCTTAAAGTTTTCGAGTTGTGCCCAAAATCGAGAGGATCCAAAGGAGATTTTTCAACTAAATACAACGAATGGATGTAGGTGTATGAGCTGGTCGAAGAACTGTATCAATTATACACATATATGTAGTTCAACTAGTCTGTACGACCAATAGTTCGTCTATTTATTGATGTAGTCGAAGAGACTTATGATTCCTTCTATTGCAATGGGCGCCGGGTTTGACAAAAGACATAAGACGTAAGACATAAGATAGCTTAGCAGCTATCTCTCTGTCTTTCTGTCTCGGTGCCTCTGTTTGTTGTCTGTCCTCTTGCTGCAGCCTCAATAACAATATTTTGTTTCGTTTCGCTTCGTATTTTTTCGCGCGTTGCACGTTGATTTTGAAAGCCAGACAACTATAAAAGTAACAACAACAACAACAACATCAACAACAACAGCTAACAACGAAACTCGTTAAGAGCGCAAACGTGTTTTCAACCTTTTCTCTTCTTATTGCTTTTTGATCTTAACAGCGGCGCTCAATGGCCACCATTTTGTTTGGCCACTCGGCTGGCGGCTCGCTGCTGCGACATTTCTGGTTTTTCGAACTAAGAAGCCAGTTGGCAACGCGACGCTAGCCCCCTGTGCTCTGTAAAGTTCATTTGCTCTGTGTGGGGAAGAAGGCAATTCGAGCTTAGGAGCAAATTTCCCTAGTGCTCTCTCTCTAAATGCCTTTTCGAAAACTTCAGTGCTCACATCGAATAGGTTTGGGTCTGCACTTAATTGTCGCTCTCTCCTTTGAGACATATTTCAGCAATGTCTCTCTAATTCGAAGTACATCTCAGAAAATTGCCCATTCGAAAACTCCAGTCAAGTATATATATACTTGATTTGTGTCCGCACTTATTTTTCGCCCTTTCATTCGAAGTAAAATTCATTTAATGATAACTTATTTGTACACATTACATAGGTTTGTATTCGCATAAGTACTCAAACTTCTGGGGCATTAACTGCAGTCTTGTTTCTCTGCTAAGCGTCTCATATTATGTATGCTGTATGTGTGGAGAATATTAAGTTGATATCTTATATAAAATAGTTCAACTAATAAAATGATCATGATTATGTCGTGCGCTTAAGAGCAGACAATACTTTTTTCACTTGTTAGTATGTACAACAACCAAGCATGGAAATTTCCCCTTAGGTAGTCCATTTTGGTATTTTTCGCTCACGCTCTCTCTCTCTCACTCTCTGTCTGTTGCACGGCAAGCGCTCGTCAGGGGCAATTTGTTTGTTCACCGCAAGTTGGGAAATTTTCAAGCCGCAGTATTGCGCACGCTCTCAAGATCAACGGACGCAGTGTCGCTGACGCCGAACGCTTTTGTTTTTTTTATTTTTCTTTTCGATTTTGCTTCGTTTTGTTTATTTGTTCAAGTGAAGAAAATCCAATGAAATGAAATTGCTGCAACTGAAAATAAAACAAAAACTGTGAATTTTTTTATTGATTCAAAACAACATTTGAGTGTACAGCATAGAGAAAAAACAACTATTGAGCGCGCTCTGTATGTGTGTGTGCGTGTGAGTGTGTCTTGGTGTCTCTGTCTCTGTCTATATCTAAGCAAAAGTGCGAACTAAGCAGAATAGTGCAACAACAACACGAAGAAGAACTGTGCAAGACAAACAGGTGCAACACTTCGTACACAACAACAACAACAACAAAACAGTTTAGCCAAAGCTGAAGCTAAAGAAGAAGCAGCTGCAGCAGCAGCTAAAGGGTTGTTCCCTTGCGGAAGTAGCCAAAAAACAAAAGCGACATGTGCTAAAAAAAACTTGAAGACGAAGCAGCTGAGGGGCAGAAGTAGAAGTTGAAGAAGCAGCAGCAGCGATAGCTTGACAACAACAACAACAACAGCTGAGGCAGAAGTAAATTTGAAGCAAATGGATACAGTTGCCATTAAGACGGCGCCGCCGCATGCGCCGCTGGCAACAACAACAGCGCAACAACAACAATTACAAAGACAAACATCGAACTCGCCCGCAACCATTGGCGACAATGTCTACAACAACAACAACAACAGCGGCAACGGCAACAGCAGCAGCATTGGCGCCTTCTTTCAGACCTGCAAGGTAAGCGAAAGAAGCAGCAGAAGAAGCAGCGCAGCACAGTAAAAGCTGCAGCAGACCGAACGAATGCATCAAAGACCTAGCCTAGCTTCGCTTCGAGCAAACGCAAAAGCAAAAACAAATTCTCAACTAAAAACACAACAAAATTCATTTCAATCCAATTTTTCATCTTTGCTGCAACTAAACAAAATTTTTAAAAATTAATTTTTAAGCAAATGAAAAAATAAATATTTTTTTAATTTTAATTAAGCAACAAAATTCATGAAAATGCAAAAGAAAAATTTAAAACATTTTTTGCATTTAAATTAGAAAAAAAATTTATATCAACTAAGAAAGTTAAATTATTTATTTAACTAATCATTTTTTTGATCGTAAAAAATGTTTTCAAAACAAGTTTTGAGCTAAACGAAAAAAATTGATATTGTTACTAATCTTTTGTACTTTAACTAACTTTACTTAACTTTTTAATATATTTTTTTTTTTACTTTTTTTCTATTGAAAAAAAGTGGTAAAACGACTTTTTTACCACGACTCAAAAGAGAGAAAAATAATTTTAAAATATTTTATTTCAATTCCAACTCCAAAAACATAATGTTATATAACTTCTTAACGGTTTCAGACACCCATAAAAACCGTTTGAACCGTTTTTTGTTTCGACTTTTGCTTTGACAACTTTTTGAAGCTCGAAAAAGCGCACCAAAGGGAGGCAGCAGACAGAGTTCTTTAAGCGCCGTCTAAATGGGGTATATTGGTGGAGTGCGTGCACTGGATGAAAAGTCCAGTGTATCTGGCCGTAGAGCAGGAGACTCAAGTGGCTTGACGTCGCTGCTATACGAGGATTCTGTTGCAGCTCTCAGTGCTCTGAAACTTGATCTAAGATCTGAGCTCAACAGTTTGCTCTATATAGATTGATATGTGATATTTGGCTATAGCTAGACTGTCTTCTCCACAGATACTTGGTAGGGTATCTATTAGTCGAGCACAGCCTGACTGCCACACTGTTACTTTGGTCCTCTCTCCTACCTGGCCTCAGGCCGAGTCAACCAGTGCTTGCCGAGCTGCTACGTTACGCGTTCGACTGTACTCCCTCTGCGCCCGGTCCGCAGTCTCCCTCACGCTCTGCTTCTGCCTCCCCCCTCCCCCTCGCCGTCTCTTTGTTGTACTGGTTGCCTGTGTCTCTCTTGTCCCCCTCGAAATATGTTTGGTCATGTCGCAAGCATTTCACAAATGAATTGTCACAATTACGCGCTTTACTTACACCTCTTTTTATGCTCAACAGCAACAACAACAACAACAACTGCAACTGAATGAATTTTCTTTCTGAAAATGAAAAATGAAAATAGAAAACTCCCCGTGTTAGTTGACAACAGAAAAACACACACAAAGCTGAGGTCAACAGAAATGGAATATTTGATATAGAAACAGAAGAAGAAGCATTAAAGGCGAGCCTCAACGACGGCATAATACCCGCTAGCCGCTCGAATTTGATAGCAAATCGGACGTGCCCCGCCTCCCATCCAGGCTGTAGGCAGCAGGCAGCACTCATGCCTGAGGCTGTTGAGTCCAAGAGCCCGCTCAGCCATGTCCCCAGAAGGCGGATCTGCAGACTGCTGCAAGAGGCAGCCAATATACCCGCTTCGCACTTCGTGAACGAGGCCGAGAATAGATTCAACTTTAGGACTCTCTTTTGCCATGCTTAGCTAAGCAGCTCAAAGTGCAGTGTCATGCAGCGGGAGCGGAGAGGGGTGGGCAGCTTAGAAGAGGGAGGAGTGGGGTAGGCCCTAGGTAGCAGGCGACGGAACAGGTGTAGCTCTGACATGTGCTTAATCAGCTTAATTAATGAATCGAAAGAGCTAAGTGAAATAGGAAGTCAACTGGAGCTGTGGGGTATGCGCAACTAAAACATACCCTGTAGGACTTCATGATCAATGATCAAATTGAACTAGAGTGAGCCTGTGTAGAGAAGATCTAGTCAAGCATGCTCGACTAGCAGCTACCCTACATGCACTCAGCTGATATATATATATACATATATATATATATATATGATATCTGTCAAGCTGGCTTAGGGCATTCCATGTTCAAGAAGCATTTTCTTTGCTTGGGCACTTGAGTCTGGGTTTTCTTGCTGTCTTATACCCTCTTCACTTCGCGCCGGAAATGTAACTGTGAACTGAAAACAAACAACAAGGAAACATTCAACATTGTCACTCGTTGTACCCTGCACGCTGCGTGAGCGTCGGCTCGTTGCAGCTCTCAGATTCGCATTCGCATTGAAGCATAGCTCGAGTTGGGCTTGTCGCGCTGCTAACTGTGAGTTGCATCTCTGGCTCTGCTCTTTGAGGTGCTCCTTTGGCCCTTTACGCCCCCTTCTGCCCCTCTTTTGGCCAAAACCTCTGCCTCGACAGCTCACTTTGGCCTGTACCTGCCCTTGCTTCCGTTGCTCTCGCTATCTTTTCTCTGCCTTTTTCGGCGCTCGTTGCTGCCACCCACTGTGTATCCCCTCCACTGCCCATGACAAGGCGGTCACTCGGTCTCTTCTGTATCAGCCTCTGCCTCTACCTTTTCCTTAGGCAAATGGCCCAGGTCCTTCTTCTGCCCTCACTCTGCACGTTGCCTCGCCTCTGCTGCTGCCATCCACTCTGTATCCACTCTCTGCATCAGTTGCTGCTTCTGCCTCAGCCTCTGCCTCGTTCTTTGCCTCCTCAATCAGCTTCAATCTGCTCCTTCCTCACCATCTGTTTCCCTGCATCCAGCTCTAAGTCTGCCTTCTGCACAGACAGAGTCTCAGTCTCCACCTCCACCTTTGACCCTTTCTTTCTCTGTCTCTCCTTCTCTTTCTGTGTCTTTCGGTCTTTATGAGGTTTTTGCCCACATTATGGTTGTGGGGTGTCTTACATAATGAAAGTGTTTTGCGACCATAAACTATGCATCACTGCAACTCGTTACCATTGTGTCTAGTTACACACACACACACTCACACTCTCTGTGTGCGTTTGCCGTAGAGCTGTTAGATCGACTCAGCGCAAGCAACAGGCAGCGACACAAACCGAAATCTTTCAAAGGTGCACTTGAGCCTTGAGCCTGCAGGCAGGCAGAGAGCCGAATCCTGGGAACTGAAGTGAGTTGAGCCAAAGCAAAAGAAGAAGATCAACAACAATAGCAGGTAGCTGGTTAGCTGCTTGCTTAGCTCATGCAGCTCGGGCTTAATGCTCAGAACCAATTGCAATGGCTGAGGAAAAGGGTAAATTGATTATTCAGAAATTCATGTAACAGGTACAGGAGATCAGTCAAGGCAGCCTCAAGCACCTGTATATGGGATCGTCACTCTCAACTGGCCAACTGCCGCAGTTAACCTACTGAGCTAACATTTATAGATACATATCCCTCCGTCTACACAATGAATTGGTATATATATAGATGGGAGCAGGCAACATATGTTTCACAATGTGCCATCCAAAACTGTCTTCATGTGGCTCACACTCTCTTTTGAAACTTGGGTTTTGCTCTCATAACTCGAGAACTCGGCTCATATGGGCAAAGCAAATTTGATTGACTCGAGAACTATAAGAGCTGGGCATAGCAAATTAAGGCTGCTGCTATCTTTAGGGTATCAGAAAATAAAGATTGAATCGAGTGGAGACTTATTGAGAATCTCTCCCTTAAGGGACAACCCAAGAGCTGACGGAGCTGCTTAGTACCAGACTTAGTGATGCTTAACAGGGTATCTGTGCAGTCGCGTATACCTCAACTTCGTCTGTCGTTGCTTTGCTCTGTTGTCCTGCAAAGCTGAATTCCACTTTGGCTGCACTTGAGTCGCGGCTTCAAAATGAGCCCAAAGACTGCTTATGCAACCGCAACTCCCTCCCTCTCTCTCTCTGTCCCTCCCTCTCCGCATCTCTTTCTGTCCCTCTCTTACTGTTACTGCCAATTTTAGGTAATTTCTTTTCTGTCGCGAGCTGCGTTTAACATTTAATTGAATTTTCCGCGCTTTGCGCTTTTTAACTTAATTAACGCGCTCAACGATTACAGCACACACAACACACACATACACACGCACAGCATTTGAATGCGCGGAAGCGGAGCAAACAAAGTCAAAGAAATTAAATATAAGCCAAATGCATTTGCATTTATGTAAAGCAAAAAAGAAAAAAGTTTCAATCAGATTTTGAAACGATTTTATGCTAAGTGAAGCGAGCAGGGCAAAGGGGGAAGGGGCGAGGGAGTGGCGGGCGCTGGGGAAGGGGAGGATGTGCAGTGCTTAGAGCTGATGCAGACAGCGCTGAGCTTGTCGATCTCTAATAACAACTATAAATATGCGCAGCTGCGATGCGATTACAAATTTTCAAATTCCAATCAAATTCATGCACGAGCAGCTATCAATAGCAGCAGCAGCAGCGGCAGCAGCAACAAGTGCGGCAACAGGTTGAGCATAAATTATGACCAAAAGTATTCGACTTCTGCTGCTGCTTCTTCTTCATTCTTCATATTTGTCGAGTCTCTTCTCTGTTGCTGCGCTTCTTCCCCGCGTGGCCAACTTTTTTGGGGCAGTGTTCGACTGTTAATGTTGTTGTTAGGGAAATTGTGTTGTGCGCAGCTTTCACACAAAAGACTTGGGCTTTCCAACAACAACAACGACAACAATTGATTGAATTGACTTTTGGTTTTTTCTTTGATTTGTTTTCTAGTTCTCAAATCAAGTTTGTTGCCTAAGTCATTTGTTTTTAGCCGCGTGGCTAATTATGCAAGAGCAAAAGACGGATGTAGAAAGAGAGAGAGGGGTAGGAAGAGAGAGAATGATATGTGTGGAAAGTGAGAGACAAAGAAAGAGAGCGAGAAACGACGAGATTAATAGTTGAAAAAAGAGAAAGAGAGCGAGAAATAACGAAATATAAATAAATGATAAGTATAGATATAGGTATATAAAGAGAAAGAAAGACAAAAAAAGAGAGAAAGGGAGAGACAAAGAGAGAGAGATAAAGTTTCTCATAGAGAAATGTTGAGAATTATAGAGAGATAGGGGAAAACAGCCAAGAGACGGAGCAGATAGCGAGAGTCTCTAGCTGTATCTATATTTATATATACAGTGTAAGACAGAAAGAGACAGAGACAGAGGAACATAGCTAGAGTAGGCGTGGCAGATGGCACTCGCTAACTGTATTTAATTAACCATTCAGATGGAAAGGAAGCTCGCTGCACAACAGCAAACCAAAGAGAGAGGCAGAGAAGGAGGGAGAGAGAGGGGAGAGAAGAAGCAGGGGAGACAAACTTCCTGTTTGGCTATTTACAAGATAATTAATCCACATCGATGTCAAATTGACATGTGCGCGAACGAAGCGACGAAGCCAGCAAAAGGAAGTCATTAACTCAATTGAATGAGTGTGCGTGAGTGAGTGTGTGTGCGTGTGTGTGTGTGTGTGAGAAAATAATGCGTAAACGTTTTGGGCTGCCAATGACCAAAAGCGAGGTAAGCCCTCAATGAGCCCACTCAAACGGAATTCATTAACACGTGCTAAACAGCTAAAATAGAAGCGAAATACGCTGAGGCTACTGCACGACTCTGCCACGCCCACACTTAGCCGGACCTGTAACAGAGGCAATTAATGGCATGAGCTAGATAATGGGCATCATTTAATTCAGTTCAGCCAGAGTCAAAGTCCAAAATTGTCTCCAAGTGACGCGTGGGCGGCCGCTCGAAGCCCACGCCCCAAGTGGAAGTCGAGCTGAAGTCGAAGCCAGCGGAAGTGCAAGTCGAAGCATGACAAATGCCCACACAACATACGCAATATGAGTGCGTGTGTATGAGTGTGTGTGTGTGCCTGAGATAGCCAAAAACAATGACCAGAGCAATTGCAAAGAGTTCAACTGAAAGGCAGAAAAGCTGCGACAGAGGAGCGAGGGGGAGAAGAGAGATGAAGATAGAAGGGGAGGAAGAGGGTAAGATAGATGGAGATGGAGATGGAGAGGGCCAGCTTGAGAGTGCGCAACTAAGCAGACATTAGGCAATTGTAACTCAAGCACAAGCGAAAGCTGGACAGCAGCGCAGACTGCGTGGTCAGCCCTATCAACGAGCTGCTGGTGCCATTTCTACTGCTCGTGTTTCTGCTTGTTTCTGTTTGTTGCTCCCACTACAAGTCCAAATATATAATTTTTAATTCAAGTGAAGCGATCCACTCGTTGCTGCTACTCTCTATCTATATTTCTACTACCTTTTCTGCTTCCGACTTCTACTGCTACTTCTAACTCTCTAGCTAACTGACTACTGACTGCCTGACTTGTGGCTCAAAGTATATGTGGGATGAATCCCTGCTCACACTTCACACTCTCCATTATTTTGATCTACTACTTTTCTACTGATCTGCTACCTTTCCTTTCCATATTTTCTAGCTATGCGAATCTCTCTAGTCTTCTCCTACTCCCTTTTGTCTATCTACTTAATTCTTCAATTCCTACTATTTCAATGTCTACTGCATATATTTCTACTATTACTTTTGACTTTTCTACTACTATTTCTAAGTTTCTTTGCAATTCGAGTACTAATTTGATGTCGATCACTACTTTCCTTCTACCACTACATTTTTATGTACTTCTCTATGCTACTTTTACTACAGTCTTAACTCTATTTAGCATTGCTGCTGCTTTCATTTCTACTACTTAATTATTTGCTAGTACTATTTTACTTTCTACTACTATTTCTATTTCTACTACCATCTTAATTGCTTCTACTATTTCCATTCTTCTTTCTCACTCCCTGTCTCTGTGTCTCCCATTCCTACTCCCTTTTCTATCAATTCCCTTTTTCTTTTCCGTATTCCTATTCTGTCTTAAAAGTCAGTTCACACGATTCTCTCTCCAGCTTCTGTCTTCTGTCCTGTCCTTAAGCTTAACTCGAGAACTGGCTCGTGCCAACTCAGAGTTCAGCTCAAAGGAGTCCAAGAGGCAGCTGCAGCTGCAGCTCAATCGCACTTTTCAGGCGCCCAAAACGGATTTGGTGGCTTTTGTTTTTGGTTTGTAAACGGGTTTGGCGATTATCTTTAGCAACTGCTCCAATTTGATGTAAGCTGAGGCTGCGTTAGAGGCGCGTGGCATGTGGCATTGCGGGCTGAACGGTAGCTGGTGAAGGGACGCGCTGACAGCTTTCACTCCAACTGCAATTGCAGAGCTCGTAATTAGCTGGGCCAGCAGCAGCAGCAGGAGATCTCCTTCTGTCTGCTCGTGAGTCATGAAGTCAGTTTGAACTCTGAACCAACAGCAACAGCAACAACCACAACAACCAAAACGAAACGAAAAAGAAGCTAAAAAAGATCAAGAGTCGCCATTCGAGTTTGCTGCTTTACGTTTTACTGCTTCGCTTTTGATCTGCTCGCGAACTACAGCGAAATGTCTGGAGACAAGGCTAAGCTGGGCAGCACAATTCGTTAAATTTGTGGCTTTGTGGCGTTGTGGCTGGCGACAAAACTGGTTTTGCGCGCTTTTGGCCACCAGACTCTTGGCTCTTGGCTCTTGGCCACTTTGCTTCTCTTGAGTCCAGCACATACACACACTGATACACACGCACACTTCTACCTTTGTCAAGATGGCGTCGGGGTAACCGGTTTATAAGACATCGCTTCTTGTTATACACACTCGAAAGATTTTCATGTAGAGATTTACTTCACTCAGTACCACTCGCTCCCCGCTGCACGCTCCACTCCATGACTTCGAATTAGTATTTTTTCGAACATGTGCTTAGTGTGGACACACAACCAAGCACACGCCGAAGAGGCCTTCAAGCAAAGTATTTTAGAGATACTATTTATAATTTGATTAGGTCTAATACATTGTCTTCTTCTAATTGCAGGTCTTGTGGCATCTGGATGCGTTCCGACGCTCTTTTCGCAGTCTCAATCAACACGTTTGCGGCGGTCAGGATTGCATATTCTGTGCCTTGAAGGTAAGTGTCACGGCTAAGCAAGGCTTTTATTTTTCGATTTAGTCCGGACACAAACGGGCCAAGACTTAATTTTTACTTATTTCAATGGCGTTGCAAATGGTTTTCCCTATTTTACTAACATCAATTTGAAAATATATAATATTGTATACCAATCATCTTATTAATTTTATCATATTTTCGTTATTTTATATTTGTTCATAATTTACTTTTCAGCTTGTTGGCTGCATTCGATTTGAGTTGTAACTTTTTTGTTGCCTACTTTTAGCCGTTGCCGAAATTTCCTTTTGCTACATTTTTGTTGCCTGCTTCTGTGCGCGTTGCTGAAAATGTGTTGAAGCGATTTATGCTGCCTGGGGTCAGCCAGGTCAGTCGTCTGGGTCTACCGCCTGGTATTTCCTGCACCTTTTAATTGCCCTGCCGCCTGTCCGCTACAGTTGCCAAATCATTTTCTCACAGATTGAGAGTGCGACTGTCTCTTTGTCAGCATCTTTTCAAGTGCGTTTTTCCCACTTTCATTGCACAGAAATTCCCACAAAAATATTGTCAGTTAGTTATTGGAGAATCCCGCAGCATCTGCCGATGCTATTCCTTTTGTTAGTTTTCAAGTTTTTCCCGTTGTTGTGTGGCAAATCAAAGATCTGCCACCTTTTGAACTCTGACCAAAAAATAGATCTCTCTGGCTACCTGCCGCTGCCTCCTTCTCCCCTAGCTGTTACTTCTGCATCTGCTTCCATCTCTCTCCCCCTCAATCGCTGTCTCACAGATCCTGTCCGTGCCACGCCCCTTGCAACAGCCTCGCTGACAGCGCAGCGGCTGCGTGTGTTATCCTTGCGTGCAGCTCATACGAAAAGAGAAGAACTTTTCTGCATTTAGTCGCTGTTCAGTTTCCCACTCAATTATGCAAATGCTGACGCCCACGCGGCCAGTTCGTTGCTTCAGTCTTTCGTTGCAGCACGGCATGCAAAGCGCAGAAGTCAATAAACTGTGGGCTCCTTCGCCTGCGCCAGCTCCTACTACACACTTTCATCAGAATGAAATCAAGTCGAGGCAGAAAAAGAACAAGCACAAGCGCAAGAAGAAGAAGTTTTCAGAAAGGTCTGGAAAAGCGCCTAACAATGGCCCCAGCCTGTTGCTCTGACGGCCTGCCTTCGTTATGGCCAACAGTCGCAGCTTCTTCTCAGCTTCTCTTCATCTGCTGCTTCTGCCTCTTGTTCTTCCTCTTCAACTTGTTCGTATTTGGCCCGCGGGCAGCAGGCAGCTCGCTCGCCTCGTCTCACTGCGGAAAACTCAGCGCCTTTTTTTGAAGACGCGACTGTACCTCACTTGTTATGCTGCTGCTGCTGCTGCTTGTGTTGTTGTTGTTGTGTGCGCGCACAGGGTGTTTCGTGTTCAACAATTCCTGTTCTCTCTCTCACTGCTAGTTGATGACGTCGCTGTGTTTGCTTTGACTGAAGTGGAAAGTGTTCCATGCCTTAGCTGAACTCACCTATCACTGCCTCTCTCTCCCTCTCTCTCTCCCTCTGCCCCCTTTTCTGCTCTCTGTTTGTTTGGCTGTTTGTTTTGACTGCCTTTTAACCATTTTAAGCCCCGCTCGCCGGCTGTCATAGAGCGTCGTCGCTACTCGCTTTTGCTTAGGCGACAAACCCCTTTTTCCTTCTTCTTCTTTTAATTCTTCTTCTGCTTCTGCATTAATTATGTTTTTTCTTGTGTTCTCCTGGCTTTTCCACTTGTCGCTGCTAAATTAATTTGCCCTCCCACTCGCTGCTCTCCCTCGCCCGCTCTGTTTCCATTTGCATTTCCATTCGAGTTTCCCAGTTCCCAGTTTTAATTATGAAAAACGTTGACTCAGCGCACTGCAAGTTCTGAGCCTAGACAATGTCTAGAAGACATTAACCCGGTGAGAAACTCCCACGACTAACCCCAAAACAATTCACTCTGCAGATCTCGATCTATAGCTCTATATATTTACCTATATATATATATATGGCTCTATTTATAGCATGTGTGCTTGGTTCTAGCCAGCGTCTACCCATTAAAAGTGCTTGCAAAAGGGGTCTATGGGTTCTTATGTCAAGTGTTTGCCTGACTTGAACATCCTAAAGTAGATCCCAGCTAGAGCTACATAATTTCTAATTTCTAACGTAGATCTCTGTCTGCTTATAGCAACGTCTTCCTTAGGTTCCATTTCTAGAGCTAGTTTAGGGTAGCTGCTAGTCGAGCACTTTCCAACGTCATGGCCAGTTGGTCACTCGCTTCCTCCCTCTCTCCCTCCCTCTCACTGTCTCTCTCACTTGTCACGTCTACAAATGAAATTTTCAACGCTTCAATGCGCAATTCGCACAAATCGGAGCTGCAGTCGCGCCGTCTTTCGAAGGACGAAGTCATTACAAAGGCGCGACACGAAATGGGCTTTAAACAAACGGAGAATAGAGTCAATGACTTCTCAGCTGTGGCTGTGCCCATTTGATAAGGCTGCTCTGTTTGCCTGCTAAACATCTAATCTCGACTGCATATCAAATCCGAGTGCAAACAGCACTCGAATCAAGCGACTCCAAATGCGATTTGGGTCTCTGTGATTCGTTTCGTTTACACTCAGCTGAATCATAAAACCCAAATTAACATGAACAATTCACGAGGCGGCACACAAAGAGATACAGGCAGAGAGAGAAAGATACCAGACAGACAGATAGACATAATTATCAAGTGATCAGCATGATCATAAAGCTAGTTCAGCAGCCTCGTGCTTTGGTAGACTTCTTAACTCAGACAGACAGGGAGACATCTTCATAATGATGAATGATCCTTGATGCGTTGTTGAGCTCACCTTAATCATTAAGCTGATCCCAGAGCATCGCTTAGCAACTACGAAGTTAGCTCTGTCTGAGGCATTCTGTGATTCATGGACACACAGCACTCATGATCAGACCAATACGATGATCATTATGATGTACTTTCATACACTGGCAGACAGACAGACGTACCCTTATTACTGAGTGCACTATGATCATTAGGCTGCTCCCAGAAGCGATGCTCTGCAACTTGGCTCATGATTAGACGAACTCAGTGATAATTATGATCACACAGACACACATATTCATGAATCTGTACTAACGAATCCTAGGATCATTGAGTTCAGCTTGATCGTTAAGCTGATCGCAGAGCAGCTGATCGCTTGCTAGCTGAGCAGGTTTGGTTTAGCATCCTCTGATTCATACACAAGCATAAAAGTCACGATCAGAGGCGATCGGAATGATCATTATGATCAGTGTAGAGCGCATGTTCGTCAGGCTGGTGCAGGATTCACAGTGTGATTCAGTGACGCTTTAATGATCATGAAATGCGAATGATCATCCTGCTGGAAGCCTGTGATTCATAGACGGGCATCATGATCAGCATGAGCAGCATGAGCAGCATGCTCGCTATGATCGTTATTAATTGTCGATCGTTAAAGTTTGTTCAGGAGCAACTTTCAACCTCGTGCGCTTTCGGGTGCTGTGATTCATCTAGTTCGCAATCATGTGTTTGCACATCGGACATATATCGTCTCTAGACGTACCTATAAATAAATGTACATTTCATATCATTTACTGCTCGCTTTGAGTTGAACTAATTTTACGACGTGTTAAACGAAGGTTGTTCGCCGCCAAAGAGTTGGCTAAGAGCTTGGCTTATCGCGCGCTGTTCGTGAAATTTTCAACATTTTTTCGGCTTGAAGCCGTTGCAGCTTTTGCGATTGATCATCTACATGCACATATATACACGCTTGCAAATATCTCCATAAATATGATCTATATACGCCCACGCTCTACGCTGCAATATGAACTTGTGCTGGGTTTTTGCTTAACGTTTTTTGCTTTTGTTTACTTCGCTGTGCGAAATTGTGATGATGCTTAATTAGCATTGTCATTGTCCTCTCTTTTATTGCTGTCATGATTATCATTAGCATTTCATTTATGATCATCAGCAGCTTAGCTATGAGCAATAAAAATTCGATCGCTTTTGCTACTTTTGTAAGTCTTTGACTTTCTGCATGGCAACAATATTCTCATTGCTGTCGCTGTCATTATTCATAATGTATTGGTTATATTTGAGTTTTCATTATTAATTATTGATTATTATTCGTTACATTTATAGCTATTATTTTATTGTCATTATTATTACCATTGCAATTACTATTAGCCTTATCATAGCCATATCATTTTTCATTATCATCATCATCATCATCATCAGTATTCATAGCATTTATTTAGTATTATTCATTATTTTTAATTCATAATTCATCATTCATCATTCATTGATTTCATGATCACTCCCATCATTATCCATATCTTATCCATTATCATTATCCAATGCTCATTATTGCTTATAATTTTGAGTACTTTTAGTATTGTTGATCATCTTGATTATTGAGATCAGCGTCATTAGTTTATTCATTGTTCATTAGTCATTATCATGATAGTCACTCTGATCATTGTCGTTAGCATGATCGATTCTTACGCAATTGTTGTGATTCGATCTAATGTGTGCTCAGCCTACCTATGTTACATAAGTAGCTTGCGCACCTCAGCTTGAGCTGGCTCATCAATCACAGAGTTGATTTCTAGCTACTCATTAGTTGCAGTAGTTGATGCCTGGCCTAATGTGGCCCACCTTCTGCCTTCTGCCTTCTGCTGCCTTCGCTCTCAGCTAAGAACTGTCTGAGCTTCGGCTGCTCCACTGCGAAGTCTCTTTCGATAGCTTTGGTCCATTTTGGTCGATCAATCAAGCTGTGGGGCCAAAGTGTGAGTCATCGACTCGGTTACCGTTTGCTGCAGCTGTGCAGTGTGGTTGGGGAAATGTGCTAAGAGATGCTGCAGCAACAACCAACAACCAACAACCAACAACCAACAGGCAACAACAATGCATTCGATTTATGTTTCTGTGTCTGTGGGCTTTGAGTCATGGGCCAAACCGAGCCGAGCCAAGATAAAAACAAAATAAAAACCGCCAACAAAAAGCGA